TGTGTGTGTGTCAGTGTGTGTGTGTGGCTTTAATTTGTAGTTCAGGGCCAGGTTTCATCAGGCGGATGTCGTGCATGGCTTGGTTTGTGGGGGTTTAGTGAGACTCTGAGCCTGTGTGACGCCTCAGAGTCCGATGGTCACACAGGCTTGATGAGCAGCAGGACACTGATTGGAGGGCAGGATCTGCGTGCAGGTGCAGACATCACATCTGAGTGGTTTGTTAGAGATTTCTGCGTTAGTGTTAGCTCGTGCTGCTCTGCGCTGGGAGCAGGAGAGAAGCTATGAGGCGAGTCCACGGGACAGCCAGAGACACGATGGGCCCACTCACCACAGGGGCCCTTCACTCCTCCCAGTCTAAAAAATCTGCTTTGAACCAAACTAACCAGTTCAAGCTGACTCGCTGAGACTCGACTATCGGTTGATATTTCCACTGCTGACGTGTGGAGCAGCTGCTCCCCGTCACACAGATGACGGAGCTTTAGCTTCCCTGCAGTCGGCTCCAGCTTCGAGCTCGAAGGAGAAGCTGGAAGAAGTCCTGATGGAGACCAAAAAGGGGTTGAAGGTGGTGACAGGGGGCGCTGTGCTGCGTACGGGACTGTGTGTTTGGGAACCGAGCAGAGCCGGCGTGAAGGCCGAAGCGTTCGCTTAGTTCCCTGAAACAGGTGAACTCGCTGAGGCACGTTTGTTCCTCCACCATCCAGAAACTGTGCTCAGTAACACACACAGACACACAAACAGACACACACACGCACACGCACACACACACACACAAGCTCAGGTTTTCTGTCATTAGCAGTGACACCACAGAAGAAGACCGGGATGAGGTGAAGAGCGCCGGCGTCTGAGGCTTAAGACGAGCAGCTGTGAGGACGGAAATACTCGGATGACTGGGAATAATGAGGATGGAGGTCGAGTCAAAGTCACACAGTCACTACACTTCCCATCATGCATCCTGCACAGCTCCTGCAAACACATTAACTGTAACAGCTGCCTTATTACCACCATCTGCCTGTGGAGCTGAAACACCTTCAGGCTCTCAGTTTTCTCACAGGAGCACGTTCTCCTGCATCCTCACCATCTCTACTTCCTGTCCGCGATCAGGCTGTGGGCGGAGCCTATCTGTCACCCTGCTTCCTTTGACACTGTTAGCTTGTCATTTTCAGG